GCTCGCCGTCGGCGGCCTCAAGGGCGCCGTCGACGGGCCTTCTAAGTGAATTAATTCTGGAGTCTCGGGAAAAGTCCGTTGTCGGCGCTGTTGGGCTCGACGTCGACGTCCTAGTTCAAATCTTCACATTTTGGTCATTTTCACTCCAAATTCGCTCATTTTTGCATCTTTTTTGCTCCAATGACCCTAATTCATCATTTCTACAACAAAACATCAAAAATACATTTCTTTAAAATGTAACATCATCAAAAATAATATAAAATATGTATAAAAATCTCAACATATTTTCTTCTGGTCAATGTTTGCCATCTGAATTTACTCAAATAAAATTTTGATGCAACAAGTCAACAATCAACAAAGCCAACAATCTGGTGCAACATGACAGAACCAAAATTGACAGATTTTTCATCAAGGAAAAGCTGAATAATGGCTATCGGGACTAAGACGTGTAGTCACTGGAGAGCAAGTGGTTGACTGCATCACTAAGGGGTTGTTTGGTTTGCTGAAAATGAAATGCAATGAAAAAAGTTTACAAATTACTATAATTATAATGTATTTGAGATAATTTCGAGTTGTTTGATTCACTGTAAAATAAACGTGGGACTTTATAATTGTTTGTTTGGATTGAAGTGGATTGAAAATAATATATTTTAAATATTACTTTTTGTTTGGCACCGATAGGGAGTCGTCAGGTAGTTGGCAGCATTGGGCTGGTAAGCAACGGGATGCATGAGCGACAGCTGAGGTGGCTACGGCGGGGGGGTGCTGACGCCGCCTACCTGTGACAGCAACTGTGGGTGGTGGGCAGCCTGCGGCGACAACAGCAGCAAGAGTAAACGATGGCGACAACAATTGGGATGGCGATGAGCAACGGTGACTGGGGCTATGGCGAGAGGTTAGATGGGCGGAGTGTAGTGGGCAGCGAGTGGTGGGAGGCAGTGGCAAGTGGCAGGCAACGACGACAGTTAGCAGGCGCGTAGTGGGAGACTGGAGATTGCGGACATCTGCATGTGGCGACGACGAGCAGCCTATGGCGGGGAGAATTTAAATTTCCGCGACACCCGACCAACTGACAGCAGATAGCGGTATGTTGTGACAACTTGCCTATAGCGTCTTACATGAATTGTGCAATTCAAATTCGGCCAAATCGGCTGAATTAGTTAAAATAAACTACTCTAAATATCAAATTTATTCAAACATTGTATTGTATTTGTAATTTTGCATATTAAATACATAATTTTCTCAAATTTCTGCAAAAAAAATTATAATATACAACTAATTCACTCAATCAAACAGCCCCTAAAGAACTTAGTTCATTAGATTTGTCTAGTTTATGTGACAAGAAGAGCATAGTGGATATCTTTTGTCCATCTTGAGGGAGTGTTGAGAATTTAACCTAATTGAGAGCCCTATTGGTAAACAAGAGAATATTGAAGAAGTCTATGGGTTTATTCGTAAAACATTGTAATACTCTATTTAAGCTCATATTATGAATGTACAAATTAGATTTGGAGTAATTCTTTCTTCTAATTCGCCATAAACCTAACTAAAACCAGAACCGAACCAAACCAAACCAAACATAAGTTGTTATTAGGCTCCCAGGGTCACTAATTTTAGTCAAATTCATAGCATTAAAAATGATACCCGAAACTTTCAATCAACTAGAGGATGATAAACAGATATGAACCTTGATCTGGATCTTTTCCGTCCTCAGAGCAGATATCGTCTTCTTTCGGGTCCAAATACTCCGTCCAGTCCGTCCTCCGCTTCGCAGGACAAGAAGGTTTGACGACCAAAGACTCGGCGCTGTCTATTTCCAATGCAATGATGTAACCGTCTGATTTGGGCGATTTGGGCGATTTGGGCGAAAAATAATCACAGCCATCCCGCTTTATCCTCGAGAGATTAAACTCCTGAACGAAATTGCGTATGTCGCGGGCTTGGAATCCGTGAGCGTGAATACGCAGCACCGATTGCCTCTGATAGCAAACTGCGCACACCCACTTGTTGCTGCTCTTGTTCTGCTGCTTAACCTGCTCCAGCAGCAAGCACAATATAAGATGACCGGTAGATGCGAGAAGAGGAAGAGAGAGAGAGAGAGAGACCTGCATTGTAGAGCATTGCACGCACTGCACAGCCATAAAAAGAATCGGCATAAAACTTGGAGAAAGAGGATGCGAAGAGGAAAATGGGAAGGGGAGCTTTCCCGCGAAGATGACGCCGATGAAATAAATGGTGATTCGTGTGTGCGCTCGCGTAGCTTCAACTTAACATAAAACAAGGAGAAGGACTAATCAAAGCTTGCCACGCTACTCGCAGGATTCTAATCCGACGGCGGCAAAATTGCCGAACTTTAATTTGAAATAGCGCGGTTCGAAAGCAATCTAGGGAAGGAATGTGCCAAAATTAATACAATGCAAAAATGATTTTTAAGGGTGATTTAGGCTCTGTTTGGGGCAGCTTATCCGTTGTGACAACATTTTGAAAACGTCGTCTTACCGTTTAGAAACTACGTTTGAGCAGCTTATCTGAAAACTCGGTTAGTTTTTTACACTAAACACGGAACGGGAGTCGAACCCCGTTGTTCGTGTTTCCAGATAAGCGGCTTATATAGATAAGCACAAGCTGCCCCAAACGCACCCTTAGAGAGCGTCTGGCACAGCTTAAAAGGAGCGGTGCGGTGAGGAAACAACGGTTATGCATGTTTGAAAATTATGGTTGCAGTGCATTCTTTAAAAAGTTAATTAAACGTGGCTTCACTTTTATTCGCAATATTTTACTTTTTTTTCTACCCCCTCATTCACTCTCTATGCTCTCGTGTGCCCATTTCTCCTCTATGTGGCTCATGTGGCTAGAGTTGGATTTTCCGGTAGTTGTTGGTTGTGGTGGTTGTTGGTTGCGGTGGTTATTGTGGTGAGTTGGTCTTTCTTCTCCCTCCCCCTTCTCTTCTTTGTCGTTGTGGCCAATTATTCTATCAGGACTCCGAATGGCTCTCTACATTCGGAGTCCAATGCGATGGAGACACGTGGCAACACTGGACCCACCTAAAAAAAAACGCGCACTCAGCTGGCCGGCCCGACCCAAACTCAATTCGCAAAAAGCTTCTTCACGTATTGTCTGACTATTTTTCTTTCCCGCGCGTAGTTGAGCACCTATTGTTCCATTGGTTTAGGGTTTACGCCTTCCATGGAGTCCTTGCCAAACAACGAGATGATGGAGACAATGCAGCCAACATTTTCTCCAAACTTCAAAGAGGAAGTGAGTTTTACTGTTAGCTCAGGTTTTACTTTCGTTTTGCTGCTGTTTAGGGGTTTTAGTTTAGTGTTACTCTTATGCAAGCTTGCTAGGTTTTACGATGTTATTATGGTGTTACGCCGAGTTACTTTGTTTTTGTTTAGTCCAGGGTTTAGGGTTTTCAATATGGAATAATAGTGGTCTTATTCAGTAGTAGATGGTAATAGTAATATGAGGTATTTTGGTAGTTTTGTTGTTGTGTTATTTAAATATTTTATTGTGTTATTCTTCCATTACTGTAGTGTTATGGTTAGTTTTAGTGGTGTTACTAGTAGCTATCTTGTGTATTATATTGATTGTTATTATAGTGCTATTTTCTAGTTTGCTTGTGGTGTTGTAGAATGACATCAAGCTAGTGTTATTCTTGTGCATTATGGTAGGTTTTACTGTATTATTCTAGTGTTATTCTGGTGTTATGCTGGGGTTACTCAGTTTTTTGATATTAGGTTTTAGGTTTGTTCATTATGGTAGAAGGATAAGTGACCTAAATGCAGATGTGCTAAGATCGTGGTTTTGTTACAGCACAACAAATGATATTGTTAATATAGTTGTTATTTGTGGTGTTATGTTGGTGTTATTATGATATTACACTGGTGTTATGTACGTTTGTGGTAGTGATTCCTGCTCTATAAATGTGTTGTTATTCAGATTTTGATAAAGGACTTAATGAGGTTTTTATAAATCAGTCATGTGAGCAAATAACTATTTGCAGTGATCCAATTGCTAAGAAGTTTCTTAGCATCATCGTCCACAATGAGCAAGAAACTTATGAAGTCTATTATGCCTATGCACATAATGTACGATTTAGTGTTCGAAAGGACCACAACAGTTATTGGCCGAATTCTAAGAAAAGGAAGTCTAAAGATTTCCTTTGCACAAAATCTGGTCACAAGAAGGAGTCTAACCTTATGAATGCAGGAAAGTACAAAAAAGCAGACACAAGGACTAGCTGTCAAGCCATGGTTTGCTATGCAGTTGATCTAGAAGGCAACTGGACATTACAGAAATTCTTTTAAAGTCACAATCATCCTTTGGCTGAATCTGGTGATAAGCATCTTCTTCGTTCCAGTAGAAGGATAAGTGACCTAAATGCAGATGTGCTAAGATCGATGACAGGAGCAAGGATTTGAGCAACGGATGCATATAACTTCATTGCTCTTGAGGTTGGTGGAGCAGAGAATTTAGAATGCACGAAGAGGGATGATTCAATTTCATTCAAAGAGAAAGAAGAGAAAAAATTGAATCACCTCTCTAATACAGTGGTTCATGGAGAGCCAAGGCAACGATAACATATTTGCATGGGATTTCCAAATAGATGAGTATGATAAATTAATAAGTTTTTTTGGAGTGATGGTTTATGCAGGTTAGATTACGATTGTTTTGGTGATGTTATAATTTTTGATACAAGCTATAGATTAAATAAGTATAACTTATGTTGCGCTCTTTTTGTGGGAGTTAACCACCACTGACAAAATGTCATGTTTGGTGTTGGCTTTTTGTCAAAGGAGGCTATTAATTCATTTAAATGGTTATTCAAAGCTTTTATAAGAGTTATGGGTGACAAACATCCAATAAGTATTTTCACCGATCAGGACTAAGCTATGACAAGAGCCATTGAAGAGTGTCTCCCACAAACACGACACAGATTATGCCAATGACATATATACAAAAAAAATTACTTTAAAAGTGCATTATGGAGTTGTAATCAAGAGCGTCATCAGTCTATTTTATAAGTGCATGAATAAATGTGATTCAGAGAAGTTTGAAGATACTTGGTCATTAATGATTGAAGTTGGTGACCTACATAGTAATGTGTGGTTGCTGGGGAAATACTTAACGTTCATAGAAAAAAACAAAGAAGAAAAAACCATAAAAAATTTGATCGCACTGTGGCTGACCCAGCAAAGATGAGG